ATGTAACGTGTGCATTCTCCACTGTAAGATCAATTACGGCAATCACACAATAAATATAGTGATTATGGCGGACATTCTGACACAGCCTGGGTACTTATTTTTGTACTCTTACCTCTAAAACAAAATCTTTCCTATCTTACAGCAACTATATCTCTACCTCATGATAGCTAACCTGAATTACAATTAGATTCATGATTGAAAATAGTAATTTTTATGCTGATGAGACTTTGATATTAAAATTTAAATTGGCTGTTAATAAACATGCAGTCTTGCTAATGTCACAGCTTGACCTATGATACTTTAGAAAGAGCAGAGCCCCACCGTCCCCCATCATCTTGTGCAGCTTCTTCTGCTTCCTGGACACCATCATTGCTCAATACCACAAGTTGGAAATGAACATCACCTCCCATCACCTCCCTCACCTAGACAACACAGCAGAGGATGCACTACCTACAACAGCTAAAGATGATCAAGCTGCCAAAGGCATTAAAGATACAGTTTTACTCCTGTGCTCCTCTCCTTCTCCACCAGCACCATAATGGACAAGGCAATATGTGTGTAATTCTGTCTGCAACTGACCCCTCCACCCTGTATATTAACTTTTTTAGGTAGGAGGCTGAAGTCCATCCAGGCCAGTATCTCCCAACACAAAAACATCTTCTTCCCATCTGCTACTACCTTTATTACCAATGCCCAGGTCCCCGATTGATATTTTCCCTTTGGAGAAAAAAAAAAATTGAAAAAGAACTGATAAAAAAAATTCAAAATTTGTCTGCAAATTTGAATTTGAATAATTTATAATTTGTCCGTTTTTTTTTTGTTTGTTTGTTTTTTCTCTTCTTGCATAAAGGTAATAAGTTAAACTTCAGTTAAACACCAGTTCCAAAAGTCCTTTTTTAAAAAGGGTTGTGTTTGTAAATCTGCTTTACCTGCTGTATTTCTGGGTGGAAGCTTTGAAAACAGGAATCAGCAGCACATTCAGATGAGAGTGTGAGTGAGAAATCATTGTTCTCCACAGCCACAGGTACATGCACTGTTATGTGCACTTTTCCTATTTCTTTTGAAGGCCGTGGGAAATTAATGGCTGCATCAATCATGCAGCAACCGAGAAGTGAAAAATACAAGATGATGGTTAGAGGCTTCACACAGACACAAATGTGACTTAAGCAGAGGTGGGCAGTTTGGAAACCAAGAGTGCAGAATATGGCAGAAAGAAAAGTAGGAGAGAATATATAAAATATAAGACTGAGAGGCTGTTGAGATGAAACAAGAGGGAGACTGAAGCATATGCTGTATGGAAAGGAAACACTGGAAATGAGACCATAAATATCAGAAAGACAGATGGTATTTTTAAAAAAAGCCTCAGTGGGTCCGTTACTCTGTAAATATGTGGTGTGAAAACTTTCTTTTAATTTTTATTTGTTTTGCTTTTATCAACCCAGATGACTGTTTGAACTTGAAGGCAAAAGCCTGATAACTAAGATGCCTTTAACTGTATCTTTGACATCACAGACAGGAGAGATTTTTTTTTTCAAAAGATTATAGGTGTAACCGAGTTAGAACTCCTAACATCCACACTGATTATGGCTATAATGTTTTTACACAATATGTTTTAATTGATATATTAACTAGACCAGGCCTGCCCAGTGTCAGCCCTTGAGGGCTGATGTCCTGCAGGTTTTAAATGGTTTCTCTGCTTCAGCACAGCTGATTTCTATTGATAGCTGATTAGCAAGCACTTGCTGAACTGCAGTCATCAGAATCGGCTGCGCTGAAGTAGAGAAACCTTTAAAACCTACAGGAAACTTTGGGCAGGTATGAACTAGACTGTTCTGGAATTGTAGTGTTTGTCTGGCTAAACATTTTCCTCTGTGTTTAAACTCATTGCCTTCTTGAAACACGAAATTATCCCATTAAGTATAAAACCTAACCTTACCTAAACCACTTCCTTAAATAACAGTAAACTGAATATTGTGCTAAAGAACTAGAAACCATGACGAGTCGAGAGTATCATAAGGTGGAAGCAAGTACCAGTTATCCCCTTCATGCTGAATTTACTGAGAGGCTACAGTACTTATCCTGAAAGAAGCTAAAATGTTTTAACTATCAGGTTAAATGGAGATGTTCTTCTTTCCAGACAAAGCTTAAACTAATTTGGTTTAATGTCAAGGGAAATGCTTTGAGCAGTCATTGAGCGTTTTAAACCTAACAACACTTAATGTTGAGTCATTTTGAATTATGTAAATGGAACCAAAACCTTGATCATTAAGCTCCTGTCCTCGTGAAGATTCCTGCAACATTCAAACCAATTCCATCATCTGTAACCACCTTTACTTGTTGCTCCAATTGTATTCTACATTCTGCATTTAAATGCTCAGGAGCAGTGATCACCTTGCAGCACCTAGGGAGCATTGGGGATTTAAGGGTTTCGCTCCGGAACCCAGAGAGGCAGCCTGAGGTCTGAAAGCCTGAATTTACTGCCTCTCTTAAAATGTGAAGCGCTTTCTACTATACAAGAGTTTCTGCACATGGTGTGATTGTAGTGGGGATGCAAGTGTGCCAAAAGCAGAAGGAAATGATTTGACTTAAGAGCAGTGTATTTGAGAAGATGAAAAAAATTAAAACAATGATAAGAAACTAATGAAGAGCACAAATCAGCTTAGAAAATGTTTAATAATGCACAACTACATGTTTACAATGAGGTTGAAACAGAGATAGATATTCTTCTTTGTGCTTTTTATTGTTTTTGATCAGAGCAATACTGCACCCTGAAACAAACTGTTGCAACTGCATGGCCTTGTATGGCAGCGTGAATACAACCTTAGATGTGTGCCCAGTCAAATGGTTTGATTTCCTCTTCAGCATCAGGCCTGTTCTACACATTCTTGGTGCTGGCCTCATTATTTACATCAAGTGTGTTGAAGCAAAGAAGCAGACAAAGGTTTGAGACCACCAGCTGCCCTCGAAGACTGACGTCCAACAGAAACAACACTCTTATATATTGTGTAACCATGCTATCTAAAAAAAAAAAGTTTAACAAAATCACTTAATCACAGAATTATGAGGACAGTTTTTGTTGGTGGTTTTATTTAATCGTTTCACTAGACCTACAGTATTAAGAGATAATATAACTACTTAATAGAACTATTAAGAGTTAAAATCAAATGGATTTTTTCCCCCATGAATTAGATAGCTATAGATATTGCATTTGAATTGAGTATAAAATGAGAGAATCAGCTCCAAAGTTTCATCTTCAAGGACGATGCACTTGCTTTGAGAGTTTTATGATCACCATGGTAATTATATAATCAAAGCAGGAAGGATTCTAGAATGCATTTTAAGACAATATTTCACTCAAGGATGGGCCTGAGCTGATTTGTGTGTTTAGTTGTATTCCCAACTTGATTGTCAGCGTTCTTTTCACACTGACTCTCCTTCTTCAGTGGGTAACTACCCATAACAGTAAACTATTTCCCCTGTGTGCACCATAATTAGATCCTGCAACTCTGTGTTAACTCCTTATTTAAATCATGTTACTGTCAATAATTCAATAATTAGTTTCCTTTTTCTCCATTCCAGCAGTGTGTGAATAATCAGAATCGTTTCAGTAACAATAAAAGAGGGATTTTGGCTTTGATTTATAATAAAGTCCACCTCTCAGTGTAGATTGTGAGAGTAGATACGTTCTATGTTTATCCCTGCTGATGGGTGCAATGCCATAGCTAATGAGGCTAAATCTGTTATTCAGTGACTAATTGTTTGTTATCATTCATGTGTGCTAAATGTGTGTATGTGTTTCCACAGTTTTATCCTGGTGTTTGGCTGTCTGGTCCTCTCTGTGTATTCCACCATCCCTGCTCACCAGGAATTCTCCTCTCACTGCCTGCTCATCCTGGTAGGACTCAAGCAAACACGCAAATCTATAAACACACATCACTGTACAGATTGGTTCTGTAAATCAACACGCACTGTCCAGAGGGTCCATACCCACTTTCTAATATTTAATGTATCATTATTAATCATTAATGAGTTTTTTCAGAAGTCTAATGTTTTTATGTATTCATACTGTAGCCTTTATTATTGAGAGTAATATCTGGATTTGGACCTTGAAAGTTCATATATTTATGTAAAGTAAAGAAGATATAGTCCTCACTTATTTTTTCTTTTTTAGATTTATGTGAGTCAGGCTGAAGTACAGTGGATATACTGTAAGAAAACTACATGCCCATGTTAAAAATACATAATTTAGAGGTCTTTCCATATTTATTTCCCCTGTAACATTTTCAGTTTAAACATAAAATCCTTTATATATATATATATATATATATATATATATATAAATTAATAAATAAACATAAAATAGTAACATGCTGTGGTTCCATAAGTATATTAGATATATAAATATATTTATCCAGGGTCGAGTTGTTCTCAGGATCCAGAAACAGGAGATTCCGAAGGGAAATTCAGGTCGGTGACAGGAAGCACCTCCAAGTTCATTAGACAGGCAGAATTCAACAGGGTTTCCAAAGACAGTTCAGGCAAACTGAACAGACGGGAACAGGCAGACTTAGTGGTTGAGAGGTGGAACAGGATCAGGTAATCAGAAACACTAAGGTAACACTGAAACGCTCTCACCACTGGCTCGAGAATAATCTTTCCTGACAACTGGAAGCGGAAAGGTAAAAACAGATCAGACAGGAAACAGACGGTCTGAGTGATGGAAAGGCTGAACAGAAAATTAGAAACACTAGGGTAACGCTGGACACACTTTCCTCTATGGTTTTAGAGAAATAACCTGGCCTTGATGACTGGGAGCAGGCAGCTTAAATAGAGGCAGAAGCAGGTTGATCAGATGAGAAGTAATGAGAAACAGAATTAGACAGGTAATAGAAATTAGTAAATAAGCCAGCCATCAACGCCAAGATTATGAAAGTTTAATGCAAAAACTGTAACTCACCAATATCAGGACCTAACTGCAGGAAAATATGTTAAGAACCCCAGGGGAAAATGAAAAGTTGCTACAATATCGGAATTAACGACTTGCACTGTTATGCAACTGAATTAAGATATTTCTTATCTATCAGAAGAATATTTCTGTTTGCCTTTTATTTAAGAATGACCATATTCAGGTTGCATATAATGTGGTTAAATAAATTAATTGGTCAAATGTTTTAAATTAGAAAACATGGGATATTAACAGGGGTGTTTATGCTGTTTATATTCACAGTACTAGTAGAAAACCCATTCCTTTGAGTGTGAATACTCAGAGAGAGTGTTACAATTGGCTGGGTTGGTGTGTTTTTTAATGATGTTTCGAGAATGCTGATTTTGGAAACCCAGGTCTATAATGAACCTTAATGAATGCCCAGTGGTGAGTAAAATCAATATTACACACGTCTAAATTAGTTTACCTTGTGCTTACTTGTGATTAAGGGAGTAATCCTTCTGCCAAACAAAGAGATAAATCTGTAGCAGGAATAACTTTAATAAATGAAATCGATTATATCGCCTGTCATTCAACTTTGAATTAAAAAGAAAGGATAGATTTGTTTGCTTCTACTTAATACTAGGTGTAGGAAATGACTTCCATGAATCAGTTTTACTATTCCTCTTTCACATTCATGTTTAACATTCTTATAAGGTAATGTTTATATTTCCTCTGTTGTATTCATTGCTTTATGTTCTCTGGGTATGTGAAAGAATTTAGACCTGGTTTTATTTTAGTGCAGGTTTCCCTGCTTTTGGACTTTTCTTTAAAAATTGCATTACAATTTTACTTTTATTTTGTGGGGGGTTTTCCCTGTGATTTTCCTTTACCCCACCTGTTTTGGATTTTTTATTGCCAAACCATCAGAACCTCTGAGTTCTGATCTACTGAGATCCCAAGTAGAAAGTGGTAAAATGCCTGTACGAAATAAAAATAGGTTTGTCATTTAAATAGATCAACCCATTTAAATGAGGATTTTACGAGTTCTACTGCTTGACACTGAGTAGTTTGGGAGAGTGGAGTGGCTTTATTTTGCATGTCCCAAAAGCAGCCTCAGTAGCAGGTGTTATGGCTTTAAGGAAAAGATGCCGACAGAGGAGGAAAAAAAAGGCCTTCTCTGTTTGTGTAAATAAAAAAAAAATAGATGACTATGAGGCACCGACATGGTAGAATAACTCCTGGAAAAGTCCAGCTGTAGCCACTAGTCAAGGTTAATGTTTCAAAATCAGAAAGCAATCACCACATCATCTTTTCAGACAAACAAGATAAAAAAAAAAATATATATATATATATATATATATATATATATATATATATATATATATATATATATATATATTGTCATGGTCTTGGTTCTGCTGTTCTTTTCTTTGCTCCTTGTTTTCTAGATTTATTAGCCTAATTCCAGTTTTGTTGAATTTCTAGATTTATATTAGTTCTCAAGTTTTTCTGTTGTCCTCTTTTGCCCTCTTGTGTGTGTATGTTCCTTTCCCCTTGGCTCCCTCGTTGTCTCCTCTCACACCTGTTCCTTGTCTGCTCGTTAGCCCTCCCTTTGTCTCTCTCTCCTATATATATGCTCTCCCTCTGCTCTCACTCTTTGTTGGTTCCTTGTCTTTGCTGTCCTCCCATGCTGTTGTCCACGTTCCTCGTCTCTCCCTGGCTCCTCGTGTTTGGTTTTCCCCAGATGTCTTCTCAGTTCTGGTTTGCCTTTCATTATTAGTTGGATTTTTGGATTCCTGCCTTTGTTTACTGTTTTGCCCCATTAAAACTCCCAGAAATCTCCTCAGCCTCTGCCTCTGCATTTGGGTCCTCCAAACCACAACCAAACCCTGACATATATAATATATGATTTTTTTTTTTACAATATGTTATTGTAATATAATATATATGTATTTTATTTACAATATGATTTTTTTTTATATTTGTATGATGCAGCTGCAAATAAGCATTTGAACACTAAGAAAAACAATGTTAATATTTGGTACAGCACCCCCTTGTTTGCAGTTACAGAGGTCAAACGTTTCTTACAGTTTTTTTCCAGGTCAGTCAGGTTTATGTGCTGTTGCCGAGTAACACGTAGTTTGAGTTACCTCCAAAGATTCTCTATTGACTTAGGTCTGGACACTGGCTAGCCCAATCCAGAACCTTGTTATCATTCTCTCAGAGCCAATCCTTGGTTATCCTGGCTGTGTGTTGCTGGTCGTTGTCATGCTGGAAGACCCAGCCTCCACCCGTCTTCAATGCTCTAACTGAGAGAAGGATGTTGTTCCCTCAAAATCTCTCAATACATGGCCCCAGTCATCCTTTCCTTAATACAGTTCCCTGACCCATGTGCAGAAAAACACCTCAAAGCATGATGCTACCACCCCCATGCTTCAGAGTAGGGATGGTAGTCTTGGAATGGTACTTATCATTCTTGTTCCTCCAAACACAGTTATTGAAATTATGACCAAAAAGTTCTATTTTGGTCACATCTGACCACATGATCATCCACCAGATCATCCAAATGGTCATTGGCAAATTTAAGTCGGGCCTTGACATGTGCTGGTTAAAGCAGGGGAACCTTCCGTGCCATGAATGATTTCAAACCATGGCGTCTTAGTGTATTACCAACAGTAGCCTTGGAAACAGTGGTCCCAGCTCTTTTCAGGTCATTGTCCAGCTCCTCCCTTGTAGTTCTAGGCTGTGCTATATTATTCCACGCCACAACGCAAGAGGGACAATCATGAACTAGTTGTGGGTCTAGATACGTCCTAGGCGTTGAGGGAGCGGTGAGGGAGTGGAAAAACACAAGGGGCAAGTTTGGGACATGAGGGTGAAAAAGAGTGGGGATCCAATTGGAAAAAGGGTCCCAGCGTTCTTGCACACCTCGCTCTTCCAACTGGTCCATCTTCACGAGTCATTATCCACAATGGCGGTCATACAAACAAAATAAGCTGGTAAGATACCAAACAGGAAATACGCATAGTGTAGAGTGGATGTAGATTTGACCAATAAGAGGCCTCCTGTCTGCGGCAACGTCTGCAGTGCCCCACAGTTTGACAGAGGTGCACCAGAGTATCTGCAAGTGGCATATTTGCGTTAACTATTTGCGTTAGCTGCGACACACGCAGACGACCTGGTTTCTGAGTATAAATCAGCCTTATCAGGTCTTTGAGGGTCAAAGTTCTGTCTGATATACAGGTGTTCAAATACCTATTGGCAGCTGTATCATACAAATAAATAGTTAAAAAGTGATATATTTTGTTTTCTGGATTTTTTTTCTAGGATAATCTCTCACAGTGGACATGCAGTTACGATAAAAATTTCAGACCCCTCCATGATTTTTAATTGGGAGAACTTGCAAAACAGCAGGGTGTTCAAATACTTATTTTCCCAACTATATATATATATATATATATATATATATATATATATATATATATATATATAATTGAAATGATTTTTAAACAAAGTAAAAACCCTTCTTGATAAACATCTTTTCTATTTTTATCAAAAGAAAACTAGTACAAAAATAAAGCTTGTTCTATTAACATATGTTTCTTTTAATTAGTTTGAAATTCCAGAATAAGAACGATATTATTTGTCTTGTTTACAAAATAACAGCTCTTAAATTGCTTTGTAATGTAAGTGTATTTAATGAGTTTTAAGGGTTCTTGACAAATAATTGTTGCTTTCCCCACTAGCAGATTTTTTTTTTGTCAAAGCAGGAAATTCTTTTCATTTTCAAGAATATTTATCTTAGAGTGACACGTTTGTTACTGTGACATATCTGGAAAAACAAACCAAACAAAACTTCAGCCTTTATTATTACTTCCATCTAAATCATCTCCTTGGGCGAAACTGCTCACATAGCATGAATCACATTTGTTTGCATTATTTTTCCTCGGACCGCCTGGTGATACCTTGCAGTGACTATTTCTTATGTTTTGCATTTGCTGAATTTAAATGATATGTTTGTGTATGTGTGTCTTAAAGGAGTTTGTGATGATTGTAGTATTTGGCCTTGAGTACATCATCAGGATATGGAGTGCTGGCTGCTGCTGTCGGTACCGAGGCTGGCAGGGACGCCTCCGCTTTGCCAGGAAACCCTTCTGTGTAATAGGTGGGTATGATTGATGAAAATCATAGACATACAAATATACGAAGGATGTAGCTTGGAAATCTCTGATTCACTGTATCTGTCAAAACAGATATTAGCCAGAATATTGTTAAGCTGAGTCTAATAATCAGTATACTGTACTACTATTTAAAGTTTATTTTTTTCCAAAAAAGCTATTATAAAGAGTAGGTTTCTGTCATAAGCACTATAATAAGAAAAAAAGAAAAGAAAAAAGCAGCCTGTTGGGAATCAATAGCTTTTCTTAAAGGAGATGGATGACTGCCTGGTTGGATTTAGAAACCAGGTGAGTCAACCACAGTTCCTGTTGCTTATATTGTGCTACCCATGACCTTTAATTTTCACCGCTTTACTCCCCAGACATCATCGTACTTATCACCTCGGTTGCTGTGGTTTCAGCTGGTAGCCAGGGCAACGTCTTTGCCACCTCTGCGCTGCGTAGCCTTCGCTTCCTTCAGATCCTGCGCATGGTGCGCATGGACCGCAGGGGAGGGACCTGGAAACTGCTGGGATCTGTAGTTTATGCACATAGCAAGGTAGGACATTGATGCTCCCTGAGCTGTAACCTTTTTCCAGTTGACATTTCCTTTCCAGTTAGAAATTTGTTGGATATCAGTGTTGAGATGTTGATATTGTTTTACTCGAAATGGCCCCCACTAAGAATGGATTTGTGTTATTTTTATCCATGCTGCACGCTCCAGTCAGGATTTGGCTTTTTAAGCATGTCTAGTTCATGTGTTTTGTGAAAGCTCACAAAAAGGCACAGCTGGAGACCTTTATTGACATAACAAAAAATATTACAAGGAATTTAGTATGGAAATACTTAATGTATTGTTTGTATAATTGGAATGAAGTAGTGCTACACATGTAGGAAGTATTTACATTCTTCTCTTAAGTGCCAGCACTGTATGTCTGCAAGTATATTCTTTTAAAAGTACATGATACATCAATTTTATTAAGGGGAAGAGGCATGAGGAGTGGAGTATAAACAGGCCAATATCAGATAAGTATGGAAGTAAAAATGATTTAAGAGTAATTCCCTTATGAGTTGGGTTTTTACGCCATTACACAATGACTTACAAACCTATTCAGAAGTTCATTTTTTGTATTTATTTTTAGATTATTACAACCTAATTCGATTAAACAAAATATAACTGAAAGAAGTAAATTGCCCATGTCTTTTGGTCAACTTAAAACATTGATTCAACTTTAAAAATATATATACTTGTTATATATTTTATATAGTTTTGAATATATATTTTTGAATACTAGTTTCTGAGTAAATTTCTACTTCAAGTCAAACGTAATAGTGTCACTAGGGGCTTATCCTTTCACATGCTGTAACTCGCGTTAATGTGACCTCATTACCTGACGAATCCAAAATAGGTGTGACCAGCACAGCAGCACTATTAGCACATTACTTTCCAAAAATAAACATACAGACATGGCTATCATACCAGTACCTATCCTATTAATCATAGAGCAGTATCAGCATGGATATGGTGAATAATGCAGTATAATTCAATTCAGTTTATTTATATAGTCCCAATTCACAACACATGTCATCTCAAGGCACTTTACAATAGCTTTGACCATCTAACAAAGCAGTCAATACCTAAACCCTATATAGATACCCAAGGTTAGTCCTGAAAACAGATTATCAGAGCTCTCCCTGTATGAAGCTCTTAGAAACAAACTTTTGCAGCTGTGCATTTGGCTTGCTGTTTAAAAATCCAACTGAAAGGTGACTGCTATAGTGAATTAGATGCTTAGAAAAAAAAGGTATGAAATGTCACAGCAGACATTTTATCTGCACTTACAATATCAGTGCAAATGCTGAAATAATTGCAAATTCCACAAAGATAAGTGTTTATTGCTAAGGACTAAGTTTAATAAAAGGAGTTAAATAACACAGTTATGGGATGTATGTCAGAATTACCATTTAACTTTAATTTGCTAATACTAGAAATCCTGTGCACTGTAAACTTGTTGAATTATTTGATTTAGGTCAAAGGTTTTATTTGGTTTATATTTCTAACTGCTTAATTAATTGGTTGCAGCGTAGGATAACATTTTGTTTTTATTTTATTGGTTTATGGGGATAAAAAGTAATTGATTTGTTAGCAAACAAGTAAGAAGCCCTTAGGGACTGTTTGACACACTTCTGTCTAAGTGCTAAATTAGATTTCATTGCAAATGCCATGGTTTCAAATAAAATGCTCCTACATTACCTTATTCTGACTAACACATAATTATTATGATTTTTGCTTTCAGGAGCTGGTGACTGCTTGGTATATAGGGTTCCTCGTGCTTATCTTCTCCTCCTTCTTGGTTTATCTGGTGGAGAAAGAGTTTAACAAGGAGTTTGACACGTATGCTGATGCGCTGTGGTGGGGGACGGTAAGGAAACAGATCCCAGACACTCAGAACAGTCTGTTTGAATGTCACACTGATGAAGTATTTGCTAACATATTTTGTGAGGGATCATTTTTTTCCCCTTTGCTTCTTCATATATTTGCAGTTAGGCTTTTCAGATACTGTTTTTTTTCTGTGTGAAGCAGAGGCATCTGGGTCGGGAGAGTAATAAGATTTAGCCTCTTCTGAATTTAATCAAGTAAAAAAAAACTATTTCTCATTATTCTGACATGATTGAAATGATTTTATTAAATCTAACTGACCTCAATCATAGAATGTTTTTCTGATTTAATATGACTTGGTGGAAAGGAAAAAAAGAGGTTATGTTTTTTTTTACAGTATTTTAACACTTGGTTTGAGCCATAACCACAATTTTTTTTATATTATTTAATTACTCTCACCTATTCGATTTCAGTGGAAATTAGATACTGTTAAAAAAAACTGTAGGAGTTAGGCTGCATCCATTGGACAACAGTGATGAATTTCCATTTCCACTTTTAAGCGACTCTTACAACAACAGCAATCCAGAAACCCACTCAAAGGTTTTTTTTTCTTATGTTACACTCGGCTGGCTGCACCGCACTGTTTCCTCCTATATCCTCCCTAGAAAATGGGGAAGCAGACAAGACACAAACAAGAAATGGACCAATCAATAAATTCAATTTCTTCCTGCTGCCAGGTGAAGCTGGCCTCAGAGGCTTCTGGGATCGACACTTAGACATTGTGTGTTCCTGTGCTGTGACATCGTGGAGCCTCTCACTTCTCCTAGAGACTAAAAGCTGCTGTATAGAAAGTGTTCAAAGCTGAAGTCTGAGCACATAAAACTTTAAAGATGTAGGAGTCAACACAAAAGCTGTCAAAGAGATGAAAATATGTGTCTGCTGGGCATGCTGATGGAGAATTACATTTTTCTCTTCGATGTACAGAAGCTTGACGTATTAATAATGTTTATCCTTCACATTGGTTTTATTTTATTGGTCTTTCATTCTGCATTTGCTTTATTAGACATATGTGTCTGAATGGTATAGAAACGTATTTTAAATGCATCCAGAATTTCTATTCAGTCTCTAATAGATCAAGATTTATAAATGTTTCTTAGAGATGGATTAGAAAAGGCAACACAACAGAGGTTAACCAACTTTATTGCCTCACAACAACCAGAGGAAGGTCATTTCAGAGAAGCCAAACAAAGGCATTTCTTGGAATATTATTTCACTAATTATATATATATGATTTTATATTCTTAACCTCCAAAGACCAGATAGGCTCTGTATTAGAAAATGTTGAGTTAGGTAAGGTAAGAAAAAAGAGGCCAGATTTCTTATGTCTATTTCTAGAATTTGATGATTTTTAATGGAAAAAAACATCTTTTACTCATAAAAATAATTTTCTTTTAATTCTTCTGTAAAATATACAGAACTAGAAGAATTTATGTATTTTAGGGATTTTAGGGAACCACAATCTTTGGTAATTATCTGAGTCTTACAAAATACAGTCCCAGTTTGAGATTCAATTCAAATTTAAGATATCTTCTGTATTTGGATCTTATTTATCTGTACAGTAAACATTGAAAATAAAGGAAATGAAAGCCACTTGATCCAAATCCACATCAATGCCTCTCGAAACAAACGGAAAATACTTGTTTAACATTATAGACAAATTAAACTGTGTATCCTACACACATGGTAAAAAGATCTCTAATATGATATATATATATATCATAATAGGGGTACAAATAAATAAAGGAATGAGTTGACCCAGAACCCACCGAGAGCTGTCTGTATATTCAAGCAAAGCAGGCAGAGCAGGTGACATGACACAGACAGAAAGCCAGAGCAGCCTGTCTGTGTTTTTCACCATGCACATCGTAGTAAAGGGTTTGGTTTGAAGTAAACCTCAAATTACATCAACAAAGCAATTCGCATATAAAGTAAATAATACAGTTTTAAAAGCTGTACTCCCACAATTAGTACTTACTGTTAAAAGTCACCTCACGTATTTGGCATATGTTGCTGGAGATGCAGTCATTTGGAAATGCTATGATCATTATTGGAGGGGTTAAGAGAGCAGATCTTAATAATGTTACCAGGACCGCTAATAATGTTGTAGACTCCCTGGCAAATACGTCACGGTTGATATTTTAGCTTGTCCCCTGCAAATACCAGTAAATAGACAGGTTGTTATTAAATAGAAAAGCGTGATGTTGTGCAGATGCTCCTTTTGCCTAAGCCTGTTTGCAGTCTCATACCTATTTTCTCCACTGTGATTTAACTAAATAAACTGTGTTTTACTGTTATTTATTCTAAAATGAAATAAGAAAAAAGTTTTTGGCTGTTATTCTAATAACTCTGACTTATCTTGTGTTTTAACATAATACTCCTTAGCAACTCTAACAATCCTATTAAAACTGTGATGAAAATAACCGAAGAAAAAACATGTTCCCATATATTTTGGGTTTTTTTTTTTTTTTTTTTTTTTACTTGAAATGTGCGCATTTTACATTTTATTAGAGTTCGTTGGAGCATACATTTTTGACTTTTAAAATGTTGATCCTTTAGATTACCTTAACAACTATTGGCTATGGTGATAAGACCCCGCAGACGTGGACTGGACGGTTGTTGTCGGCTGGTTTTGCTCTGCTTGGGATCTCCTTCTTTGCCCTGCCAGCTGTGAGTAAAGCGCATCCATGAGAGCTCACTGAAGATTTCTTTTCTAATCATTAGTCTAATTTTCTGTTGTTGGGGTTTGGATTTCGGGCCTTGTAGGGCATCCTGGGTTCGGGTTTTGCACTGAAGGTGCAGGAGCAGCATCGGCAGAAGCACTTTGAAAAACGTCGGAATCCAGCCGCCAGCCTTATACAGGTATGAACATGGTGGACAAAGACGTCTCTTATATTTTGGATTCTTCATTTCCCAGCAGCAACTGCAGCCTTAGAGGACTTTCATTAATATGGACGTCTAACTTTCTCTTTACACTTGCTTTTTCAATGTTTGTTTCCATTTCCTTGGCTATTCTCTGCCTTGTTTGTCATTTTAATATCAGCATGACTGCATCCACAGCAGGAAAATGTAAAGAGGTCTAATTAAGTTAGCGTGTGTATGTCATATGTGTATGTTAGTCTTATTCAGGCCGCCGTTTGCTGCAGCTGACGGAGACGTATGATGTGTGAAGTACACCTTAGGTCAAACAGGTCAAACACAAGCTAGAGAGATTTATGAGCCGTTTCCATAGCGATCATTCCCCAGGCAGACGCTCCTACAGACCATCACTCATTGTTATAGACAAGACCAGCTGCATTGCTTTCTAATGAAAAACAAATACTGTACCTGCTGTGGAGTGTCAACATAAAACAGAAACAGCTTAATTTCTGGTGTTTCAGTGTTTTTGTTTTTTTCTTGTAGATTTGTTTGAGGTATTCTGACAGTGTCTGTATGCATTCTGTCAAACTTTCTCTCCTTATTTCTTTGCCTCGCCTTTGAAATACACCGTCTTGTAAAGCAATCTAAAAACGGACTGCTTTTTCTTGAAGTCTGTGTCAGGATCCACGATTCATGATATTCAGCATTGCTCTAAATAATTATAGATAACTTGTTTGCGAATCTGGTAGAAATGTAAAAAAAAAAACAACAACAAAAAAAAAAAAACTAAAAAAAACTTAAAAACAAAAAGAAAACCGATTTTTGCAGTGTTGCAATCTGAAGCTAAAACTTAATGAATCCTGAAATGAAAATTATTGTTGCAGAGCTGCCCTCCTTTTGCCAGCAGGACAGAATTTATTGTAATTTTCTCCTATTACGTGTCTCCAGACGTAAAGAGAGAAACCATTAATCTTTGCTCAGTATCATCAGGAGCCCTGGGTCTGCTCTCATAAACTATCTTCTTTTCAGTTCACACTCAAGATTTTCATTTTAATGTATTTATTAGTTTTGTCTTTTAGATAATGATCCTCCCAACAGAGCAGGTAAAGACCCATTTTTTATTTAGATTCCAGTGCTTTCAGTTTTTTACCTGATATTCGCTTATATTATACAGAGATTCGATGCAGGGCCTCATGGGAGTGGAAGAAGGCCCGGAGCATCACACGTCTTCCACCTTACCTATCAGAACGAATATTGTCATCATTTTTGTCAGCCTTTTCCTTTATTTACACCAAACTGAAAATAATTGTTTTGACTCCCAAACAAAAAAATAGCATGTAAATAGCACCTGCTGAAATTCGTTCCTTTTTTTAAGTCCAGCTTGGTTTTTTTCCAGTTACATTAATTTTAAGTATAATAATTAATTCTCTAATGTCGAAGAATGCATCAATTAATCAAAAGCAAATAAAATAAACCTATGTTTGCTTTACTGAAAAAGCACATTTTCTTCCCTACTTTTTAAGAACAGCTGAGAGAAAAGGTTGTCTATCATGTAACATTCATATTTTAAGGAAACAAAAACAGGAACCACTAATTAAGGTTCACCAACTTGAAGATTTGTGACATTTATTTCATACAGTAGATGTTCCTAGAACTGCTGCTGCTGGGGTGGCCGCTTCCTAAACACAATTATTTATCAGAATAGTATTTCTCCCCAAATAAATAAATGTGGTTAATTGCAGAATTAAAACAAAGGATGCTGAAATGAAAGATTAAATTCTGTTTATGTTTTTTATACATCTTTACCAGATCTGCAAACAAAACTGAATGGGGCGGTCCTATAAAGACATTTAAGTCCAAACTGGTTAGTTGTGTTTGTGTTATTAGCTTTGTCTGGCTTGCATACTTGCTAAGTGTTTAATATCTTTTTCAACAGGTAACTTCAGAAGAAAACTTGGAAGCTGTTTTGTTGTACCAGATATGACATTATCACTGTGTGCCAGTGCACCCCACCATTTCTCACATCCCCCTGCTTTCAAATAACTGTTGGTTTCTGAGTGTTGTCTGCATGGAGGGCAGGAAATTACCACTGGGCTCAATTCACAGCAGTCAATCTATTGAAAAGGAGCTGCCTCTCCAGCATGCTTTCTTCCCTAAAGCTGGGAGTTCAGAGACATGCAGATATATTTCAATTGGTGACAATAGTTCCTACATTGGTTGGGGTCCAGTGTTGATTTCAAACAAGTCTTCAAAGGTTTTGAGTTTTTCAGCCTTGTCTCCAGACTTGTATTCGTGCCTGGCATCAATAAGGAGGTTAAAGTTATCTTTGAGTAAAACACTTGCCGCAAATATTTTTTTTCAACCATGCATAAACATTGTGTTGGATTATTCTTCATAAAAGTAGTTTGTTGCAAATCGTGTTTTATTCTAAATTAAGACTCTCGGACCAAAGCTTTAAAAAAAAAAAAAGTTTAATCTACTCTACATATGTATAGTATGGAAACAGAATCAAACTGAGGAGGAACCCTATGAGATAATGAACAGGTTCTATCTATTAGAACATTTTCAGGCTTCATTTTCACCTGCTGCCAGTTGATTTCAACTAAATAGATATATTGATCTACTTCTATGTATTAGTTTCACTGAATATGTATTTCTGGTATCTGGGGGAAAAAAAATCCTTGTTAAAATGACCATTTCAAACAAAATGACATTCTTTACATCTAGAATAATCACTCCCGATGTCTATTAATTAATTAGAGATCTACAAATTTCTATTGTTACCGGTCAGCATTTGTATTATTTTGACTATAAAGAAATGTATTTCAGAAAATACATTTCATGAACATGAAGGAAAAATTACCATTTTTCTTTAAAGTTTATGTGTTTCTTTTTTATTCAAACCAACATTGTTTTTATTGCATCATTAGACTAAAAGAAAGTGGAATTTTTTGGTTTTCTATTCTGAGAAAAATAAGGAACCAAAAAGAATTGGATTGAGTCGATTAGCCACTCAATTGGTCTATAATTACTTTTTGCTTACTCTTAATTTCTATATTTAATGTTCAAAGATGTATTCAGTTTAGCTAAATTGTACTTTCAAAGTGTAAGTAAGGAGAGAACCAAACAGAAAACTACAAAGACAAAAAACAAGTTTGATTTTCAAAACATTAATGGGATCCAGCTATCAATAACGTAGATTACATTTTAGCATCTGACATGTGCTTAAATTGTTTGTTTTGTTTTTAAAGTGAGTAATGAGAGTAACTCTGGGTGTTTGAAAGGGCAGAAACAGGCTAAATAATCTGTTCTTTTCTGGTTTGTCAAATCAGCAAAGCACCTAAGTTTAAAGATCTACTGAATAATTAGGACCTCCTATTTGATGCCAGCATGGTACATCTCTGTATGTCAAAAGTTCACATTCATTTCTTTTTCTCAGTGTACTTGAGTTTTTGCCCTTATGTTTGGTGTTTTTCTGTGTGTTACACATGAATGTTTGTATCCTGTCCATCTCTACTCCCTCCACCCACCCAGGCGGCTTGGCGTCTGTACTCCACCGACGGTGCTCGTCCTTACCTCAGAGCCACATGGCATCACTACCACAGCGCACTCCCCCCCTTCAGGCATGTATCCCCTTCACCAGCACCACCAGCACCGCCCCACCTACCCTCCAACAACCCCCTACTCAACAACACTGCATCAACTCTACACAAAAAAACTAACAAAGATTTTCTTTTTTCTTTGTTTTGTGCCCCTTCACCATCTCTCTCATGTCCTACCCAACTTAAACAAACCTGACCATTATTAGTTTTCCTCCTCACATTCCATTAATTGTTTTATCATTATTTATCCTCTCAACTTTGCACGTAGTGTGTCTGGCGTAGTTATGCTGCTGATGAGAACTCGGTTTCTATTGCTACCTGGAAGCCTCATTTGAAGGCGTTGCATACCTGCAGCCCTGCCAAGTAGGTAACAACTTGCAGACTTACAAACATGGCTGCTGCTGTTCATCAACTCTTGCTCATCAATTGACGTCTATCTGTCGCCGCTGATGTTGTTTTTTCCCTCAACTGACTGCTCCTACTAAAATGTTTTAACCATTGCTGTATCTTTTAACATTTTCTTTTCCCATCAGGCTTGTTTTGCTTTTGCAACTAGCAACATTCTTTAAATTAAGCTGATAAAGGACCTTAGATCTTCAGGTTTTCTGAATACTTTTAGCAGAAACCACCTATTGTTATCTTTTAAAAAAAGAAAATAAATATTAAGTAATATAGACATCGAGTATGTCCCCAAAAAAGTATATATTCACTATCAGCACTTTTCTGAAGCATTTGGGGTTTTTTTTGTTTCAATTCAGTAAAACATTAAATGTGTTCATCCAAGATGAAATAGTGTGTAATACTTAAGTTGAACAATACTATTAAATCTGATACTTCTGCAGGCTCCAGTGTTTAGTTAGAGATCAGAGATGCACCGATCTCGTTTTTTACCAATCCAACCCAGTGCCGATACCTTTGACTGAGCATAGCAGCTGATACCTGATATCAATCCAACACTGTTTAATAGGTTAAAGCTTTAGGCTTGACATCAACATTGTTCAAAAAAAGGGGAAAAAATTAAACAAATATAAATGGACTTACTCTTATTAACATATAAAATGTACTTTAGTAGCAAAAAGAAATACATACTTGCATGTAAAATGTAACATAAAGCATAGCAGTTGCCTAAAACTCGCTGTAGATCTCTTTGAACTGTATTGCTTCATATGTTAGAATTAAAATGAATTTGAATGCTTGATCACCCATTCGATTTCTGATTCAGGTAATTAGCCAATATCAGATATCCTGTTCTGTCAGAACAGCATACGCTGTCAGATTGCCATAAATTGTTCTCAAACATATGTGTGCACATGTGCAATAGAGTTTTTTTAGCAGCAGTGTACCAACAAGAAAAACATATTTATTTTAACTTTTAAAAAAAGAAAATCAGCTTTGATTGTACTGTTATTTCTTGGATGCAGAAATGGCCAGACATGACTGAAGTTTCCAGGATGTTGATAAAAGAAACATCTATAGCTAAAAAAATTCATTATGGATTTAAATAACTTACTTTAGTTGTAAGAAATGTGACTGCAGGAATTTAAATTTAGTTAGATGTTGTTTTCATGTTCAAAACTTTAGGTTTGAAAAAAACCTAAGCGTATGCAGATCTGACAGCATATGCTATTCTGGTAGAACACCAGCATCAGGAGAAAAAGGAACACTATATGAGAGGAAGGGGAGAAGTTGTGGAGATGTTAAAAGAAGATTTGAACATCTCACAGAACTCTACAGAAGAAAAGGGATTATTTTCCTGTAGCTGGAAAGGCAGATTGAATTGATGGGAAAATATGCTTAGCTAGTGTTGAACAGAAACCTAAAACCAAAGAGTGAAACATTTTACTAAGGAAAAGGAACAATCAAGATACATAAAGAAATTATTTCCAAAATGTGTTAGGTTCATTCATTATAAGTACATGCCAAAATTTTCCAGTTTGTATTCTGTCAGATTCTCAATGGTGGTGTTCTTTAAATTTGGCACATTACTAAAGATCCCAGTAAAAACATCAAGGTTTGTTGATCAAACAGGATAAAATGTGCAAAGATTATGTTGGTATAAAAGCATTTGTAAAGCTGTAACAGACAGATATTTAAAATGCAAGTGGATTCAATCCAGTTGATTTGCTCCAGGCCATTTGTAACTATAGCTTCAATGCTTTACAAAGGTTAATTTAGATCATTGTTGTTTTCTTAGAAGCAGAAGATCACATACATTTATTCCAAAAACATATGTGCTGAATCCTTTTAAAGTTTCCTGGCTCTCTCTGAGCTGGTGCTTAGCTTGAATCTGCATGGCTACAGCTCGCATGTGCTTTAATGGAAGTTGGCTGTGAAGTTTTTTTTTGCTGGACGCCATCCCTAACTATTAATGAAAACGTCCTGATGATTTTATTCAGCTTGATTATTGATTTCTCTCACTTTGTCTCCTCCTCCTTTTTATCCCACTAACCACTGAAGGAAAGAGCAGGGAGAGACTACCTCCAGGTTTGTATAAAACTATAAAGGCATAAAGAAATTAAACAGGCAGTATATCCCAAATGCGTGCTGATGCCTTGTTGTGTTGTTTGGTTTTTCTTGGCCCATTATCATTATCATCATGAAATCTATGCCCAGATTTATTTATTTTCTTGACATTTACAGTTGCCAAAATAAAAGCATCTTCCGATTTTTTAAAGCTTATTAAAAAAAAGAGAGAGAAGTCTGCTTTTATTGCAGTTACATGTTGATGTCAGACAAATATCAACAAGTACAATCTAACTACAAGGATATTGGTAGATTTGCACTGACCAGAACTTTATTGCCAATGCCTTTTTCTGTTAAGCTTCAGTCTGCTGGCTCTGATTTCAGCTGATCGGATTTCATTTGGAGAACGTTGAGATAAAACACAAGAACAGCATTCAGAATGTTTCTTTCTGTATTTCCTGCCGTGAGCAACCATTGGGTTAAGGGCCAAGCCGATGACATTTTACATCTGTTAGACAGTCCTCACTGTACACGACGTTTCACTAATTAAAAACAAAGATGAAACAGTTACAAAGTTAAAAATGTGTTTAGCATCTTATATTTGCATTAAGTTCTACTAGAGCTATAAAACATATGTGTTCATGGTATAAGAGCATTTTAACATTGAGATTTCCAAATCCAACATGTTCAGTGATATATACAGTAGGGTTAAAATCCCTGAGGAATAAAACAGTTCCTTCCTGTTATCACTGTAAGTCTAGCTCTCTCTTGCAGCCTAAATGAATCAGATCTTTCGACATGTCATGGTCAGGATGGTTTCTAAAGCTAGTTTGGTAGCACAGAAAATAGCTCAATTTAATCTTTTGTAATGAAAACGTCGACATGGAAGTGTGTTTTTGTCAGAGCTGATCTTAAGCCACACTTGGTGGTTAGAACATACCACTAAAAAGGCAAAAAAAAAAGGGTTTATGTTGATGGAGGAAGTTCACAATTGAATCCTGTTGCAGAACAGGCTCCAAAAGAAGAATGATTTTTGTTACCTTTTTGCAATATTATACAATGCAACAACCTGTGCTTTAAGGCAACATGCAGCATCTTTTTATCCTATGCTCTGTTTCTTTGATCGAGCTTTATCTTTTTATGTTTTGAGGCTTAGTCTCCTCTTCTTCATGTCTTCCCTTTCAAAACGTGACCCTTCACCAGTAATAAAGTGATGAGTGTCTCTGCTGCGTTTGTGTGTGTGTGTGTGCTTATTCTTTCTCACATGCCTTCAAAGACAGAAGTCTGTACCATGTCTGTACCATTACACACTTTTTCCATTGAGATGGTATTTATATAACTCATCAAACACAAGTCTAGAGGAGACTGATTAAAGCTGAAAAAGGGGGAGGGGATCAGGCGAGGAGGGGGGGCTTAAGAACAAGAGGATTTTAAAAGACAGAAAGAGATTTGTGAGTTTAATTGTGCTAGTATAGTTTTTACTGTGCAGCGCCTCTTTGTCAACATTTGGGCCCCTTATGTTCAGCCAGCAGCTTCATATGTGTCTAAACTGGAGAAAGCCACACACGTACAAGTTTAAAAGGGAATCGGTTTTTGCTTTCTGCCAAATGCACAAACAAATGTGCTTCTTGTTCTTCAACAAACCAAGATTTAATGAAGCTTTGTTGCTTCCACAACATGTATTCCCCAAAAACCCTCCTGCCTCAATGACTTAGAGTAATTATGTTTTCCTTTCTTAGAAACTTTTTGCTGCAGCCAAGTCCAATTTACACTTGTTAAATCATAATTACCCAGACTTTTATGACACTATTTTCTTTTCCCTTGTGCTGCCCTTTTTATCGAGGGAACACGTAAAGGCTCTGCGTTATTAGCGGTTTCACAGACTGTCGACTCACGGCAGCTCGACGGCGGTAGGTGCCGTGGTAAACGGCCTGTGATGTTCGTTTAGCAGACTTGTAAACACCAGCAGTTGTAAATGTGGGGTGCACCGCAAAGTGCTGCAGCGGATATCAAGCTGTGTGTAAGTGAGTTTGTGTTGGAGGCGCGAGATGAAAGATTGCCGAGTTTGGTCTTTGGTTTATGAGGGCAGACAGGTGGGGTATGTTGAGCTTGTTTGTATTTTGTGGCTTACTTAAGTTTAATTCAACCCCTATTTGATTTGGAAAGCCATGAAAAAAAACAGCGACTAATAAACAACTCATGAAATGAACTTGTTTCTTTGGTGCTTTTAATCTGGATGTTATCTGTAAGTGTTCAAAGCTGTAGCTATCCAGTTTGTTAAATAAAATGTATGCAGCTATTGGCAATTTCTTTTGCAATGTGACTCAAAGAACATCAGTCAAACCAAACTAAGCAAACAGAGCTATTACATTTGACATGTTTATTCTAAAACTAGCAGAGATGAAAGTGAATGCAGCATGTTGCTTACAAGCAGATAGTGAGAAAAGGTTCAGGACACACTGCCTTACAAAAGTAGCCATAATGTATTTTGGCTACACATGCATATTTAGCTTTGTGGTGTTGGAGCGATTGTGAGGATTTGGGGATAGTCATGTTGCAACTTAGATGACTTTGGGAAGTTGAATGTTATGTTTGTTATATATTGTTGTGTTTTTATACAGATTTAGGCTGCCACTCCCCTTCAACAAGCCCCCAATTTTTTCAGTTAATGCGTTTCTAGAGGTATTGACATGACATTTTCACCAGATGTAGGTAACAATCCATGCAATCCACACATACAATGAAATAAAACCATAGATGTACAGAAATTTTTATGTGTAATAAAGTGAAAGGGTACAGAGAAAAAGTATTGAACACACTTACTGAAATGTATTTAATACATTGCCTTTGTTGGCAATGACAGCTTCAAGACGCCTCCTGTATGGAGAAATTAGTTGCATGCATTGCTCAGGTGTAATTTTTGGCCCATTCTTCCACACCAACAGTCTTCAAATCTTGAAGTTTTTTTTTTTTTTTTACATTGGATTCAAGTCAGGTGATTGGCTTGGCCTTTTCAGCAGCAGAGAGTTCCCTGTGTGTTCTGGGTCATTGTCTTGCCGAAATGTCCACCAACATTTCATCTTCATCCTTCTGGTAGATGGCAGCAGATTTTTATCAATAATGTCTCTGTACATTTTCCATTTATCCTTCCTTCAATTATTTGGAGTTTGTCAGTACCATATGCTGAAAAGCATGATGTTCCCACCTCCAAACTTCACTGTTTGTATGGTATTTTTGGGGTGATGTGCAGTGCCATTTGACCTCCAATCAGGATGTGTATTATGGCATCCAAAGAATTCACTTTTGGTCTCATCTGACCAGACTATATTTTCCCAGTATTTCACAAGCTTGTCTAAATGTTGTTCTGCTAAGTTTAAACAAGCTTTAACATGCTTTTTCTTCAGCATTGAAGTCTTGCGTTTTGAGGTTGCTTACATGCCGTGGCAATTTAGTGCATTGCTTTTTATCTTCCTTGAAACAATGTTTCCCACTAATTCCAGGTGTTTCATAAGCTCACTGATCTTTGGCTCTTGGACAACTCTTCTGATCAGTCTTTTCACTCCTCTGTCAGAAATCTTGCAAGGAGCACCTGGTCACGGTCAGTTTATGATGAAGCAATGATTTTTCCACTTCCGGATTATGGCCCCAACAGTGCTCACTGTAATCAATGCCATCATTATTTGCAATGATACGTTTATGAAGGTCCTGAAAAAGCTCTTTACTTTTACCCATCATGAGGAGTTTCTTGTGTGATACCAGACACAACTTTTTCATAGGCCATCATTTGGGACTGAACCAGCTGATATTAGTTTGCACTGACAAGGGGTAGGATGGCTTTCTAATTCCTTAGAGACTTCGACTGGGGAATTACCTTTTCATTCCTTTTTTCACCTCTCTTTCTTCACGTGTTTAATACTTTTTCCCTTATGCCATTCCACTTTATTATACATAACTTAAGTTCTGTACATCTATGGTTTGAATGCTTTGTATGTGTGGATTGCATGGATTTTTATTGATGTCTGGTAAAAAATGTCATATCAGAGAGAGAGAAAGATATTTTTGTTTTACCAATAAAAACCCAAAAGATGTAGGTTCTTTGTTTTTTTTCTGTTTTCAGTTACACTTCCTTTAGGTTTTTTTTTTCATAAAATGTTTGATTTTGATATTACAGTTAAAAATTAACTAGCTCTAGGTGTATTTTTAGGGTCCTATCGAATGGAGACCTTGATCCTAGCCCCAAGTATGCAGGAGGATTTCCTCAATATTTGTCTATATTCTTCTTTCTCTTAACTTCAAGTATTTTCTCTGTCCTTGCTGAAGAGAAGCAATCTCCTGTTCTTTCTCTACATCTTTGTTGAGTCCCCTTGAACAACTTACAGAAAACTGCAAATAAGAAAACTTATTTTCAGCTGATGAACTGATGTGGTCTGTAAGATGTCTAATGTCTGAAACCAGGGATGATTATTTATAACTTAACTCTTCTCAAAGTGTCTCTTGCCATGTCCGTAGTCTTCTTGATCCTGTACTTTCACTAGCTCAAAAACCTGAGGCCTTTACAGAGAAGCTGGATTTAAAATGTAAACAACTGGACTACTTTTTACTTATAAGAATGCACCTAAAAGCAGTTTCACTGAATTTTGCTGTGCTAATAGAAGGAATTCTTTTTAATAACAATTATTTCCTTCATTTATTTTTAACATTCAGATATTCTTGCAACTTCACAATTACAGTATAAGTGCATCAGGGTTATAATTATAAAGTAAAATGTAAAGAGTTGTAGGTTCAGTAGATCCTGTGATCGTAACGCTGTACCGATGAGAGAAAAAACATCTTTGGCAGAACAAAAATGGATTCTTTGTCAGGGAAACACATTATTCATGTATTTCTTTCCAACGTGAGAGGCGCCTGAGCTCAGGTGGGTTTGCCTCTACGCTGTTTATCCTTTCCTCTTTGAAATGTGTCCTTTGCCCCTCTGTCACTGTTGATTGTGAGTCAGTTTTGAAAGTAAAGACTTTGACCTT